GCAGTTGGACAGTTGGTCAATTGCAATTGTAACCATACCACCAGTTTCGCTGTTCTTTTTCAAATCAGACAGGTTTGCAATATCTCTTCATAGTTTGATATTTTCTAGTTTTAGATGGTTGAAAATTAAATGGATATCTCATGATTGGTTCACTGTTCACATTGTCAATTATGGTCAATTACAGGATGCCCAATTGATATCTCTGTCTTTCAGACGGATATTTCGGCATTCGACGCCATGATCCTTTCTGGATTTTCTATTGGTGGACTGACCTTATCATCGATCTGCCTCATCGCAACCATCATTGTTATCCTCTCGTTCAGGTGAATTATTCAATAATTAAACTCTTTCTCTTCTTCCATACCATCTTTCTCCTCCATTTATCCATTCGATCCGGTATATCATCCGACTGTACTTCTTTGCGTTTTCTGCAGCTTGTTCTCTTTTCTTTTTTTGATGGTATATATCATTATTTGTAAACATATTTAGCCTCCTTATCTAATAAGAATGCGGTTCATTTAAAACTGTTACGTCAACACTGGACTGAGATTTTCCCCAAGATTTTGTTACCGTACATTCCTCCAGATATATGTAAGGTGCTGTACCAATATTTTAACGGTGTATCATCATTTTGTTTAAACATAAATGCGCTCTCTTTCTCTCTCTTTTAGTCAACTACGAAAATCCGAGCGAGGAATTCTACATTTGAATTTAGTTGTGAGCTTGCTCGCTGGACAGATAACCTTTCTACTTGGGATAGATAAGACCGAAAATGAGGTATGATTCATGGGAAACTAGTATAGGTATTATTTTATTTTTTTATCTGTCCGATCAGTCACTTCATTTGTGTTTTCTTTGTCGCACTGCCGCAAGCCTAGACGGTCTAAATTTGTTTGCAAGAGATGAAATGAGGCAATACAGCACTAGGAAGGCTGCAGCTTGCGTTTTCTCTAATTCTCTTACATTGGTTAAAGGTCATGGTATGAATCAAACTTAATTGTTACAAGTTTGAACATTTTTATTTCAGAAAACGTGTAAATTTGTTGCCTTTCTTTTGCACTTCATTTATCTTGTGGTCTTCGCTTGGATGTTATTGGAAGCAGCATATCTTTACTACAAGATCATCAGTAGAGCTGTAACCCCAGTGGGTATTAAGGTCCGCTACATTGGCACTGGTCTGGCCTGGGGTACCCCAGTCATCATAGCGGGTCTTACCATTGCGGTTGCCAAAGACGGCTACATTAAAACAGCATCGTAAGTTTATAGGCGTATTATTCTTAAATAAGAGTAAATATGTTTAGTCGACGGTTTAGTCATCAGAAACACCATGAAATTCAGGAATTCGTATTTGAGCCCATTACCCAAATTAAGCCACCATAATAATTAACTAGTTTTAAAATATTTATTTATATCATTTTGTTTACAATAACAATTTTAGAATATATGCATGTGCAAATACGGTTTATTACTTCATTTCCACGTTAACTACCAAAATTTATATTACAATTGTTTCCTTTTTTTTTTGTTGGCCAATAAAAAGTCACCACACATTTGAACAAGCGATCAGCTCATTTTCAAATAAAAAGAAATACTGGTATTTTCCGCAGGTGCTGGCTTAACCATGAAAATGGAGTTGTATGGACAATAGCTGCTCCAATAATCGTAATTCTTATGGTAGGTAGTAGAAGCATGAAGGTAAGGTAATACACCGATTAGCACTCACTGCAAATTTATGGGAACCATATTAATATTTTACTAATAATAGCGTTTGTACATGAATGGTATTTTATTATTAATTGAAGGTTGTTGAAGAATATTTTATAAATATTATTTTTTTCAGATTAATAGATTCACTGATTGAATATACCTAGCATTTTTAACTTTTAATTGTTTGTACAATAATAATAACTACAGTAGCATATACTTGTGTTGAATGAGTCGGGAAAGATGGCGATCATGTACATTGTTGAATGGGGAAGGCAATCGTTGTGGACGTTATGGTTACAATGTCATAATCTTTCTGAAGGACGTTTTTGTAGTTAATGTTTTGAGTGTCTTTGCAGCACACTGCAGTCCTTGTGAGGAATTATTGTGCAGTGTGATCAAGGGTGGATCCACAATGTTTCAAACGGGGGGGGGGGGGGGAACCACAATTTTTAAAGGGGGGGGGGGGGGGAGAACACAACAGTTTCAGAATAATTGAATAAGCGAATAGCATATATATTGCATTGAAATTATAAAAAAAAAAATAGTGGCAAAACGGGGCAGGAGCCCTTCCCAGTGACGTCCCTCTCCCCTAGGCTACTGGATCTTCCCCTGCTGCTTTGGGCTACCCTCTTGTAAGTGAAAGTACAGAAATATACAGTAGGCCTTGCCTAGTTGGGCATGAGAGAAGTTTTTTTCTTGAATTAAGGTAGATGCATGTATTGTAAGGCATATTCAAAAGAACCCGTAAACATTGTCCTGACGTGTTTACGTAAATTCAAATTGATTGGTACGTGGAGCTAGCTTGACCCTATCTATCTTAATGCACTCTCTAAATCGACCCGGATTCGAGAGATAGAGGATAAGCCCTAGGTATGCTAACTACACCTGAGCCTAGGCCCATAGGTCTAGGCCTATCTGTGATCGACATCATAGGCTAGGGTAGGCCGCGCCTAAGCTAGAGCCAGGCCTGGGCCAGAGCGTAGGGCTGTGTGCCTATTCTATAGGCCTGTCTGTGTTAGGGCTAGCCGGTATGGTTAGGCCGAGGTTATCATGGCTTGTGCCCAGGTGTATCTTTATTTTTACCTGATCGACTTCTAAAACATGCCATTTATTGCTGATGTTTTGTGCCATAAAACTACAATATATCCAGTATAATGCAATGGCTAGGCCTACTCCAACAAAGAGGTACGGGTACATGCTTGTCGTCACCCATTTTGTACTGGGCGGGTGACGTAGTGAAACTGCGAAACATTGGGCGTATTCGACTGTATCATTTCGTTGACTACAAATTTTCGTTGAGTATTATTTTCATTCAACTACAGTACATAGTTTATAAAATAATAGACTTCGTTGACAACGAAAATTAACATAAACCAGAGTGCGTTAATCAGCGTTAAGTTATTCACGTGACCACAAGCTGAAGCAATCTTGATTACATAGCATGCAGCCATTTTGTTTTGTCGAGGATTTACAAGTTTTCTATTCGGACTGGTCATCTTCGTTTAAGTAGGATTTACCGCTGCGCAGGTGGGAGTGGTTTAACGAAGAACGACCAGTCGAATACGGCCATAGACTGGTTCTTTTACGGCCTCGATCATTTTTAGACCTAAGGATTGCAGTGCAGAATAGATGTGATTAATTGTATTTACCTGACGTAAGAAACTTGCGAAACATGGCGAAACAGGTACAGTACTGATTTTCGGTGGTTTTTGGCTGTTTTAAAGTTGTTATCCAATATCCAGCCTTAAAAAGTAGCGAAATGTGCATGGTCGTGACATAGAAGCCCGAGTGTATGAGATCTCTTATACACATCTAGATGTGTATAAGAGACAGATCTTAATGCACTCTCTAAATCGACCCGGATTCGAGAGATAGAGGATAAGCCCTAGGTATGCTAACTACACCTGAGCCTAGGCCCATAGGTCTAGGCCTATCTGTGATCGACATCATAGGCTAGGGTAGGCCGCGCCTAAGCTAGAGCCAGGCCTGGGCCAGAGC